AGTTGGAGAACGATTTGAAATCATAAGAATGTGCTTTAATCTTAGAGGTTGGATATACTACCAGGGCACATGGACATTGTAAGAACACCTGAAGAGAACTGAACTTGTATTGAGAAACACAAAAACATTGTTTTCGTTAGAGGATCTAGTTACTAGTCAGTTTAAGGATAAACATTTGAATTGGACTATAAATCTATTGTTTGAATTCTCAGAATGCGCTATTGTCTTTCTGAGAAAACAGAGTGTAAATTTACATGCTTTTGTTCCAGTTTCTCTGAAGTTTTGTAAATATAGTTAGGTTTTAAATAAAGTTGAGTGAGACTACACTTGGTTCTTTTCTGTTAAAGTTTGGAATGATATAAGTGATGACATCAAGCTCCTTCCTATCAAACGTTTTAAGAATAAGCTAAAGTCACTTCTTATTGATAAACATTTCTTGCAAATTTATCATCAATACATCTTTTCTGGCTTTCCGTTGCCTAATACTGGCACACTTGGTTTTTTTGTTTGCTGTTTGAAATTTTTTCTTTTATTTACGAGTTTTTTTTCTGTGAGGCTGTGTGTCGTGTGTACCTGTCCCTTAACAAAATCATTTATTTATAACTTAAATAAGGTTTTTCAATTTACATTTGCAAAAGTTAGGTTTTAAGGAACATGCGAACGATTTCTTGCATAGGGGGTGTGCAAATGTGAATTTAAAATTAGAAGGATTTGTATGGGAAAAATCAGGCTTTACGATGTATATGAAAGATATGCGCCCCCGGTTAATGACGTCATTTTTTTTTCTTTCTTAGGTGGGGTTTTTGGTTTGTATGATGGCAGAATGGATTCACTGATCACGCAGTCTGTAGAAGGAACAAAGCAGGTTTTTTATCGGGGAGATATCAATGATCCTCTACCGTGCTAACAGTTAAAAAATAAAAAAACAGAAACAAAAAGTAGAAGATTAAATGCAAGAAAGAAACCGAAGACCTCGTTCTCAGGGCTCTTTCCTATTGTCCCCATCGTGCAAGAGAACGAGAGAGACAGACAGCTAAGAGGGTCTCCAATAGCCAGGTTTTTCGAGATGCGGGATTTGCCTTATTTGAATATCGGGATTCGGGATATTAAAGCAAAATGGGGGCGACATTCGGGTGTACATGGAAAGAAGAATTTTTTCCCAGTATCAAACGAGAACTCAAGGCAGAGATTCTAGTAATTTGATTTCTCTGTCAGTGCCTACTACTAATAATTATTTCTATGATCTATCACTTTTTTTTAGACGTAAAATTGTAAGTAAGACTTTTTTTCTTTCTCCATTACATGTAGCTCAGTACTTTGGTCACTCGGCACATTTTCCCTTTCATCATTTGTAATTTGCTGTTCTTTTTTCTCTGTTCTGGTGATATATTGTAGTGTATTAGAAACATCTTGAAATAAAGCAAAAAATAAAGAAAATCTGAATTTGAATCTTGAAGGAATCTCCACTGTTTTAGCAAATTGATGTGCACTTGTCAGGATGTTCAGTTCTTGTCCTTTCTTTAGTGGTACCCAACGACCGAATGTTTCAAAACACGTCTGAACTGCATTAATTGTTTTTTTCTGTTTAGAAGCATGCTTGGTTGAAGCTACCCTAATAGCTACTTTATATCTGTTTGGATGTCGTAGGGAAACGTTTTAGGTGCTATTTTCGTCTCCCCCGAAACTGTTAGCTACCATGATAGGTCGGGTCGAGAGTTCGAGGACATGGAGTAGCCTTTCTTTCATTTAAAGTGACACAATAGAAATCCTGATGACGTATCATTCCAAAGTTTTTCCAAAGAATATTCCAAAGAATTCGATTTCAATGGTAATATGGCTCGACATTTGCAATTCACAATAGGGCCATTTATACGAGGAAAAATAAGAAGCGAACTGTACCATTTATACGAGCATGTCTTATCTAAGACAAGAACAGCTCGTATAAATGGTTCGCGTCTTATTTCTGTTCTTGACACGTTTTCATGTGAGTGTTGCCCGTGGCAACGGCAACCAACAAGGCGCAAAAATTTTCCCGCCAAAAATTAACGCATGCGTACCATGCGTTCGCGTCTTATGTATGACGCGAAGGTCATTTATACGAAGTTTTTCTCTTCTTAGCTAAGACGCGTCTTATCTAAGAACAGGTGTTAAGGGCTGTTCTAAAATAAGACGCGTCTTAGCTGAGTAGCGTCTTATTTTAGACGAAATGTGCCGTTTATACAAAAAGTTCGCGTCTTATTTAAGACGCGTCCTATGTAAGACACGTCTTATTTTTCCTCGTATAAATGGCCCTAATATCACGTTAGCATACCTGCCAACTCTCACGATTTTTTATCTTTTCTCACGACCTAACGACAGAGTTTAGTTTCAACTTTAAATTTGGCGCCAAGACGAACACATCACGTAAACAACACGTGATACATTTCACTATTTTTGATTGGTTGAGCCTCTTTGGCTGTTTTTAATTAATCCATAAAACTCACCTCGGAAACTGTCATGG